AAGAATAGAAGGTAGAAGGCAGAAGCAGTGAGGGGAGATGGAAGTTTTGAGGGAAAAAGGCAGTTACTAGAACTCGGCTCAGCTTGTACGGATTGCGAGAGGGGAAGGGGGCGGGGATTGTGATGGTTTTGCTATGCCCACCTGGATAGTACGATAAGTGTGAAGGTATATGGAGGGAGAAAAAGAAAGACTGAGTTAGCGGGAGAGGTCATAACGGAGGGCGAGGCAGGGGATGTTGAGATGGGAAGGAACTGAGACCTTGTTTTGGAGGCAGAAAATGGAAACAGGGATGGGAGGAGAGGAAACTGTATGGGTTTATGATTCTAACCAAGAAACTAATTGCTGAGAAAAAGTTACTAAGTTACTCTCGGCACCTTAAAACCTCAGTGAAGGAGGAATACAATACTTGTGTGCTACTGTGATTTTCGTAGCCCTCACCAAAATCTACAAATGAGTGCAAATTTGCGCAACCGAGCTGAATTTACACCTGCGATCTCGCCGTTTCTTTGAAGCAGCTAGAAATCACAGGAAAAAGGCGTACTCAGGGTTAATCGTATAAAAGCTTCTGTGAGTAACGTACCCGTGTTGCAGAAATCTCAGGCTATATTGAGAGACCTGTGTGGAAGTAAATATTTTGTTTATATATCTACTTTTTAGGTCAAGTTCAGATCGAGGAACATTTCTTTCCGTGTAATTTTGATGTGTTGGCAGAGCGTGAAATTGACGTTTTGATTGGCCTCGATTTCCTCAAGCGACATCGCTGTATCATTGATTTACACAACAACTGCTTACGGTGAGATTGGTTTTCATTGCCTAGACGGTAAAATCCTTCAGTCGGATGAGATATATCAGCAGCGTATTGCTTTTAGGCACGAAACTGTTATATTCATTTTGCCTGGTCCAAATTTCGCACTTCCTAAAGAGATAAAGGCCATAGACATAGGAGCTTCGGGAGGCCGAGGTTACTTGAAAATTTCAAGTTTCTGGGGAGAATTGTGTTTTATGCATTCGCAAAACAT